CACACTGTTACTGTAATCTAATATTCATCCGTTAATTCAATTTTATATTCATGTCCACTTTGTATCATTTGTTTAGGAAACAGCAAATATGCTACTACGGATAAGCAGCCAGCCCTGATTACTATTCCTACCTAAACTATTACCCTTATCCTGATTTTCGAAAAGGCTCGTTCTAAAATGTTTACTTTTGATTTTTAAATAATAAAAAAATTTGTCAATAACAAAACTGTTCATTTTTTGCCATTGAAATGATTTAAACATTAAAAATGTCAATAACAAAAATTTCGTTATGAATAGCATTAAACAGGGCTGGCCGCTTTTCCGCAGCAGTATTTTTGCCATTTGATAAAACTCAGATTATAAAGAAAACGAGTGTAGATAATAAAACTGAACCATACTCTATTATAAATGGATGATTATTAGATTGCAGTAACGGTGCGTAGGGTCAGATTCTGATGATTATAGGACTCCTATGTTACTTTCTTGCACTGCATAAACCAATATACAATATATGCACTATGAAGCCAATAATGTAACAATACTCAGCAACATAAAATGCACCTGCGCATTTTTATAGAAACTGTATTAGATGTATAAGAAAATGGGACATTAATCCTGTAAACTTGACTTATCTAAAAGTGAGTGTGTTGCAGGGCTGAAGGTTTAAAGTCACTCTATGGGTCTGTGGCTCTGCCTTTGTTGGTGGCCAGCTGGAAGACCCAGCTGAAGTGACATCGGATAAAATTTCCGCCGTGATAATGTTCAGTCTGTCCCTTCATATTAGTTCATAACCATGATAGTTTCAGCAATTTTCATGTCTAATTTACTTGAACATGAAAAACATAAAAATGTTTTAAATACTTTTCATCTGCATCAAACCATCTCGGGTCAGGAAAAATAACAAAAATACAACATACCGGAAACATCCGTTGGTCGTCTTTTGTTACCGTTTAGCTGATGAATTTCCGTAGATTTCCAGCCTGATTAGAACCAAATATTTTCCCGATAATTTCAGGGAATGGGGAAATCAGATCACGTAGAGTCTGATACTACTTGCGTCTTTGTCGGCTTAGCACTTGTGGAGCCACATGTGCGCAACCTGTATCCGTGGCTAATGACCTAAAAATGTACCCTAGTGCACTGCAACTCCTACAGGTTGAAAAGACTTAAAAGTGTATAATCTTTTACTAAAAGAAAGAAAAAGAGATATTGACCGTAATGGATAGAACAAGGTTTCGTCCTTTTATGATTTCGTTAAATAATAACGATAGAACAAATTGAAGAAATGAAATAAGTAGGAATGATAGTATATAGAGTAAGCAGTAATTGTAAAGTAAATAACCATAATTGATCAAAGAGAGTAAATAATAATAAAAGCAAAGAGAATCAATTAATTATAGTAAAACATTTTATATTGCCGTTAAATAATTTGATTTGTCTTTTGAAGGTTGGCCTTAAAAATTACTTTTTGTCCCTTTTTCTAACTTGCAAAACACACTTCCATCCACAGCATTAAGCAATAAAAAATAAATTAGAACATACAGAGCCGTAGACATCTTAAAACACAAATATAAACCTCACTATAATGCCATTCGCTAAATAATTTCTTACAAACCATCGCGCCTCAACAACAACAAAAAAAAAAAAAAAATTATAATAATAATATAACATAACACACACACACACACACATTCTATATACAACCTCAAATCAACCCAACTTTACACTCACAACCCAAACCACGTTCTGCAACAAACCTGCAACAGACGCAACCCTCATCTTACCTGCGTGCACCAGTGATGCTTGGTGGGCAAAGGCACAGGGTTGTCGATGTCCATTTTCACCATCCACAGGGAGGTGAAGGCACAGTCGTCGGCAATTTGCACGTTGATCTGCAATAGTTTGTGTTCGTTATTGCTGTTGTTCTTGTTACTGTTGTTTGTTTGTTTGTTGTTGTTTTATATTGTTATTATTATTATCATTATTATATTTAATTATTATCATTTATTATATTATTATATTATTTATTATTATATTATTATTTAATTATTATCATTATTATCATTATTAGTATTAGTATTATTAGTATTAATAATTATGATTACTCTTTGTGTTATTTTCATTATTAATATAATTTATTATTTCTATAACCACCATTGCTATTGTTATTGATGGTCTCTTTGAATATCTTTTTATTATTCTCTCTCCCTATATTTACAAAAACACAAACATTAATTATATAATTCCTAAAAAAAATCAATTGTCACAAGGAGATAACACCAAAAGTAAGAAAACAATAGGATCAGAATGCCCAAATAAAACAAAAGCGAGCGTTGATCTCATACCGTAAAAGGATGCGATGCTTGGAATGGCGGGAAATCGTCGCCTTCGAGGATGATTCGATTCTGCTCGTGAGCCTCGCCCAACACCACGCGCCTTTTGTCGTTTATGAAGACGCGTTGATGGTGGGTTTCATGAAAGGGGGAAAGCTGTTATATGGATAGGGTATTTGTACGCTTTATCATTTTTGCATTTGATAGGTATTGCGTACATAGGGGATCGCACGCATATATTTACAAATATAGACATGGTCAAACGACAAGCATACCAAGTCTCTGTCTGTCTGTTTGTCTGTCTCTGTCTGTCTGTCTGTCTCTCTCTCTCTCTCTCTCTCTCTCTCTCTCTCTCTCTCTCTCTCTCTCTCTCTCTCTCTCTCTCTCTCTCTCTCTCTCTCTCTCTCTCTCTCTCTCTCGCACAAAAGACGTAGATTATAACACGACTTACTTTTCGTCGAAGTCCACCCCGAGGGAATAGATGACGTCACCATCCCGCAAAACTTCTACCTGGAAACTAACGTATTTTTTTTTTTTTTTAGATTTTGTGTTTTAAGTTTTAATTTCATATTTTTTTCAAATATGTAGAGTAAAACCAAAACAAAAAAAAAAGACTAAGAAATAAAAAAGGAAAAAAATCAGAAAGGCAGAAGAAAGTGATAATTTAAGAAATATAAAAAAGACCAAAAGAGGATGAAAGACCTAGAACAATCGGAAAATGCATCTCAATCCTGAACGTATTAGGAAATTAAAGAAATAAAAAAAAGATAAAAGGACTAAGAAGAAAATACTAATGCAACTCCTCGATCTTGAACGTATGAACAGAAAAAAGCAAGAAAAAAATACTTTCTCTAGCAAATGAACGTATTAAAGATATAAAAAACGAAAAAGAATAAGGCGAAAAAAAACATATATATACTCGTGCAACGCCTCCATACAATATAGAAGAGAAGAAAAGCTAAAAGAACAACAGGAAAAAATGTCCAGCAACTCCTCAGTCCTGAAAGTATATAAATAACAGAAAACCTTCTCAAGAAAGTAGGAAACCGAAACTTACTCCTCCAGCTCGTCCATAGAGAGCGTAGCCTCGACGTGGAAATAGGGGAAAAGGGGTGCCAGAAACTCCGTGTCGTAAGGCAGCGACTGGGCCAACTTCTCGTCCACGAGGCGGTTGAGGTAAGCCTTCTGGCCTTGGACTTGACTCGTGTACAGAGACCAGATCATGGGAATGGCCATTCTGGAATGGGAATAGGCAACGGATGGTATCGGGAATGATTGGGATTAGGAATGGATGGGATAGAGAATTCGCTCCCTACTCCCTTACCCATCACACACTCCCTTCCTTCTCTTCCCCCAATTCCTTACACCGTCACCCTCTCCCTCCTTCCTACCCCACTCCCTTCTCCAATTCCCCACCTACCTCTCTTTCTCACATCACCCCCTCCCCTTCCTTCCCCACTCCCTCCCCCATTTCCGTCCCCAACTCCCCACTTTACCCTCCCTCTCCCATCATTCCCTTCCCCCTTTCCTTCCTTCCTACCCCCCCCCCTCTTCCAACTCCCCACCTACCTTTCCCTTTCCCATCTTCCCCCTTCCTTACTATACCCTCCTCCCCAACTCCCCACATTACCACTCCTCTCCCATCACCCCCTCCCCCTTCCTTCCTACTCTACTCCCTCCCTCCTTTTCCCCTCCCCCAACTCCCCACCTTCCTACCCCCTTTACCCTCCCCCAACTTCCCACCCTACCCCACTCCCTCTTTTCCCTCCCCCAATTCCCCACCCTACCTCCCTTTCCCATCACCCCTCCCCACTTTCCTTCCTACCCCACTCCCCCATTTTTCCCTCCCCGAACTCCCCACCTTACCCTCCCTCTCCATCACCCTCCCCCCTTCCTTCCTTCCTACCCCACTCCTTTCCCTTTTTCCTCCCCCAACTCCTCACCTTACCCTCCTTTTCCCATCATCCCTCCTTCCTACCCCACTCTCTCCCACAACTCCCCACCTTACCCTTCCCTTTCCCATCACCCTCTTCCTTCCTTCCTACCCCACTCTCTCCCCCTTTCCCCATCCCCAACTCCCCACCTTACCCCTCCTTCTCCCATCACCACCTTCCTATCCCACTCCCTCACCTCTTTCCCCCCCCAACTCCCCACCTTACCCTCCCTCTCCCATCACCCCTTCCTTCCTCCTACCCTACCCTCCCCCCTTCCCCCTTCCCCAACCCCACCTTACCCTCCCTTTCCCATCACCCTTCCTTCCTTCCTTCCTACCCCACTCCTCCCCTCTTTCCCCCTTCCCCAACACCCCACCTTACCCTTCCCTTTCCGTTCCTGCCTTCCACCCCACTCCCTCCCCCCTTTCCCCTTCCCCAACACCCCACCTTACCCTTCCCGTTCCCATCACCCCTTTCTTCCTTCCTACCCCACTCCCTCCCCCCTTTCCCCTTCCCCAACACCCCACCTTACCCTTCCCTTTCCATCACCCCTCCCTCCCCTCCTTACTTGCTCACGAGGAGGAGTTCTTCCAGCTGGAGTGTGTCGCTCTGGTGAGTTTGGTCATGGTGGAGTAGTTCTCGTACCAGAGGTCCCGCTTGGCGCTGAGGCCCGTGAAACTATCCTTCATGCTGGAGATCAGGGACTCGATGCTGCTCGCCACGCCGTCGGCCT